GTCAACGAACGTTGCTTGTATAAACTGTTTTTTACATTCGAAACACCATATAAACTATTTAACGTTAGACTTATTTTTAAATTAAGAATGTGAATGTGGAGATAACCTATTCACTCCGTAAATGATATCTAAACACAAATTATTATCTCAAAGAACTAATTAAACTGACGCATTGACCATCGTATCCATACTATTAAAATTAGTTAGAATGGTAACAAACGAGTAATTATAATAATAAAATATAACATTCGCTGTTTGTTACTTTTCTGAAGAGATCATATCATTTCAAGCATACGTTAGATGGCAGGAGTGACTAAAGTAGGTAATGACGTTAGCGCGTCTCATTACTGATTGTGCACTGTAGGTAACTTTAGATGTGTGGCGACTGATAGTTGGAATCGGGTTGATTATCAACCAAAATATTCCTTTTGAAAGAATTATGGGTAAGTTTAACGTGGAGTGTTGTTTTTCGTAATAATGAAGATATATTTTAAAAGGAAATTACACTTATAGAATAACAAAAGAAAAATAAATTGGTATTTTATGTTTAACATGTCGCTCGCATTCAAAGATGTCGTTCTTTCCCGCCATTCTATGTGAGTTTTATACCTGCTGCGCATATTTGCGTGTAAAGCAAACCGAAAGAAACGTTTGAAAGCGTCGTTTGCATTTACTGTGATGAAGTAATACTTGTTGTGTAATATTCTATAATCAAATTTCTCACGGGTTCTACGAAGTCCTGACACGAAGTTCTTTTTGTCACAGTCTAGAATACTGTAGCCCTGCCGAGTCTGAGGTATGCTTTAACAAAAGGTACAAGTAGGCTTAGCAGCAGGACTCGTAGTAGTATAACCAGTAAGCGTTTGCGTACCACAATAGAGTTCGTTTGTCAGACCAATCATACTACGGGATATGATACAGCTATAAGGTTAGGCTTAGTTCTGTCTTTCCAATATGGATCATACATTCATAATTTCATAAGGGAAGTCGGTAGTGGCTTCTAATAATGTGTGTGTGCTAATGTTATTTATCGATACTGTTTTGTTAACCTTATTTGTGCTTAAATTATATGTATATATATGAATCATGAAAATACTTGTTTTCTATGGAAGTGAGGTCTTTGAAATGATTGTTAAAATTAATATGTGTAAAGGCTATTTTTGCTATTAGTATTAATATTAATTATTATTGAATTAACAATGAGCGTAAGAAATTGCCCTTGATGTATTGAATAATACTTAATAATAAAATAGCATTACTATTTAATTTGAAGGTTCACAACTGAGTGCAAGACTACCATATCAGTTTGATATAATAATTAAAGTTAGTACTTAGCTTATAAAAATTTACGAAGTATTTTTCTAAAATGAATATATTAAATATATTATTTGAATTAGTTTATATCCATGTGACAAGGTTCTTGCAGTGATAAATAGGTTGGAGTTACAATGGGTCATTTCTCCAGATCTCTAAAGTCTGCAAAATAGCCAATAGGTATAGCTTTAAAAATAGTTGTAAAAAGCCATGAATTAGTCAAAGTATATATATATATTTGATACATTGCTTTTTAAAGCAATTTTTTGTTCTGTGAAAACTTGTTTTACTCGCAAATCGAACATAAACAACTATATAATCTCATTAAACTTTTTCAATGTGTTGTTGTCATGGTTAGTAGCATATATGATCATGCAAGTTTAATTCTTAGTTACTCATTTTTTAATATATGTTACTAACTATTACAGCAATTGATATCTAGTTGCCACAACCTTACCACAAGTACTTTTCTAGAATTCTTGAAATGTTTTGAGACATTGTATTAATTTGTTGGAAATGTGAACCAATTGCAAAGAATATTAATGTTCTTCATTAATAAACTCTGAATCATTGACAGACAATTTGAAAATTGTAAATTCTTTAGAAATGAAACCTAAAAAATTAGGAAATGCTTCTTTCAATAAGTTTGACATTTCGATAAGAAATGTTTATAATGTTTTGTCAGATGAATCGTCAAACAGGCATGTTATTTGTTTGTAAGTTCCAAGTGGTAAGAGGGTTGGTATTTAGAATATGGAAGATCAGAATTAAAAAATGTACTGATACATTCCCACAATGCAGTTCCAGGTGCCAATAACAAACATACTTAGATCAAAACTAAGTTGAACATTTTTTAGATGTGTATTCAAATATATTCCCAGGACACTGTCTTATACTACTTAGTTAATTCTTAAGGAAAATCATGTCCATTCAGGTTTACTTATTTAGTAAATTTAGCACTGTCTCATAGTTTACAGTTAGTCACTGCAAGTTTTTCTTCAGAAATATCAGTGTCTGCATGTTTAGACACGTGCACTCCAGATGTCAAAATTTCAATAATGTTTTACACCAAAATATTTGATATTTATATCTTATTTTGTAACATTTATTTAGCTAATTCACAAAAAATTTGGATAATTACCTCAAGATTTTCTATCTCATAAAAAATTTTTTTTTTTCCCTCTGATTTTGTAAGTATAGGGTTTCATTCCCACCCTTTTTTGATCTTGCAGCATGTGATGTGAACAAGCACTTATGAAGCTCAGCCTTGAAAATAGCTACAGGAACATTTAAATACTGTTGGATTGAGCAGATTACAAATTGTATGTCAATGCAGGGTATATAGTTGTATGAGAAGCAGTTTATAATTTTGTTGGAAAGTGACAAGAACTCTTGCAGAGAACATTAGAATCTAATGGGAATATTAGAAGACATGTTAACAGACCAAAAATCTGGAAAATTGTTTCTTTAGACATTCTTTTCATGACAAATTATATTTGTTTGAAAGCTACAAGAAACATTTTGTATGACAAGACATCAAGTGAACCTAGATAGATGACTTAGGTCCTCATTTATTAAATATTTTTAAACTTGTCAGATTCAAATTATTCACAAATAAAAGCACTTATAATTTACTGGAAAAAAAAGCAGATTTATTAGAAATCAATTTATTTTGAGCAAGAATATTGTTACCTTGTCTGACCTGATGCCATTTTAAGATTGGGTCCTAGGGTACCAATAAATATATGATTTGTTCTAGTGTTCTTTTATGAATAATGGGGTAGAAATGGTGACTACAGCAATTGGTAAAATGAAATATCAAAAGAAATATGTTTAAACTGACTGAATGTATATCAGATGGAGCTTTCTGAAACATAAAAAAACTTAATTATAAAATGAAAGAAAGAATTTTTGTTTTTTGGCTTTTTTTACAGCAGTTTCTCACAAAAAAAAATTGAAAGTTTAAGTACATAAAAAATTACAGTAAACCTAAATTGATTTATATGAACTTTTTAAAGCCAAAACTAGATACTATTTAGTAAATTAATTCTTAATTTCATGTACTTTGCTTAAGTATTCCAACTGTGAGAAAGAAAGAAAATCTAGTGTTATCAGTGACACCTTTCCAGCCTGTAAAGAGTTATGGTGTACTGGTTGCTGCTACAAAAACATTTAGTAAACCTTAATACAAATAGATGCTTGTATGTATATGACTCTTCCACTAATATAATGTTTTTTTATTTAGAATTAATGCTTTATACTGAATTACATGTACTTGTACCTGATCTAGAGGAGACTTTATAAGCTCTGTATTCATAATATAAACATTCCAAGTAAGTCCTTTAGTACACACTGAAGGTTAGTGCAAGGAGGCTTAGAGATAGAAAGAGATTCATAGATCTTACAGAGTGAAGCTGTAGCAATTACATTCTCAGTTTGCTTTGTTTCTCTAAGAACTTTAAAGAGCAGGTGGTTTAGGTAGAGTTGGTAGGGTTTCAGGTTGAGTTTTCACTTTCAAAGATAAACAAGAAAATTGTTCAGCCTCTGAAGCTAGTCTTGAGTAGATAGAAAACTTCAGTGTCAGACAGGTATGGTACCATCTTAAATATTGTTAAGTTCTTTTTACTCAGAGTACCTTGTCTCAAGATCAGATGGTATAACTTGTTTCATTTCTTTAACAGTGAGACTGTCATTCTCTCTGGGAGATTGAATATTGCAAGGGCATTATGATTTACACTGTTGGGGAGCTTTCATTACAAAACAAGGGCCTATACAATACCTAAATATTTGGAAATAACTTCATGTTACTAGTGGCTCATCTATTCTTCAGGCCTGCCTTCCTGTTGGTATCAATGATTTTTATGCTTCCAGGCAAAAAAAATGTAATTCAGGAGCTTGAGAAATTTGCAAATGAGCACATTAACATCCTTTTAGAAAAAGTCTTTGTGTTTCACGAAAAATAGTGAAAACATACTAACAATAACTGTTTCATTGGATAAGTTTGAGACAAGTAAAAATTTTTATATACTAAAAAGTTTCCATAAAAATATTCTTTACATTATTTAAATGTATCATTTACCTGATTTTTTCAAACATTAAATTTGTTGTCGTAAGTGGGTATAGAGGCTGTGTATTACTTGACTATGACAAGTGAGCTCTGACAGATATTTATTTGCAAGGTTTATGTATTTTATCACTTGCTATTTTAGAATAACTTTCTCAAAGGTATCATATGACAGATAACTAAACAAGTTATCTGCCATACACTGTATGTTGACTAAATATTGAAACAGTTTTTTAAGTCAAAGTGATAAATTAGGTGTCATCCAACTGAAGTTGTATGTATATGTACCTTTTTTTTTTAATAAGCTTGATATTTTAGGCTACATCAAGGAAAATTTTCTGTGTGCACACTTGCAGTTATAATGAGACAAATGTATAATTTTGTGCTGTATGGTTCAGATCATTAATTATAACTAAGTATTTGTTTCAGCAGAAAAAAATGTTTCATTACCTAAGGTCTGTATAATCAGTTAATTATGTTAAGATAGTTGAGTAAAATATTGTGATTCGTGAGTTATTAGGGTAAAATAACATTTTTACATTGCTGTTTACATTTTGTTAAAACTGCACTTTTAGTGTAATAAATATTTAGAAGAATTTATATTAAAAGCACATGGCATCAGGCTGTATAAATTCCTCATCCCTGAACATTTTATTTTGGACCTTCATAGCCTTAATGGAAAATGGGTTTCAATGATGGAAAGTGTAAGTAGTGCACTTGTAGGATGGAGATTTGTAAGTACTTACTTTTATGTGAACTAAGTATTAATGTAATTGAAAAAATTATTTTGATAAAAGCTTTAAGCTGGTTGTTTAACTGTATATAAAAAAACAACTACAATTCCAAAACTAATATACATAAATTGTGAATTTAAGATTAAGAAGCTTATTTTAAACTTGTATAACACTACAGTGAAGTCTCCATTAGAGTCCTTTGTTTAGATTTGATCTTCCTAAAAGAAAGACATCAAGAAGCTCAGTTTACTAGAATAACACATAAGGAAGAATTAAAGCTTTCTATATATTTTCTTTGAAGCATAGGAAAATTAACAATAGCTTGATTCAAGTGTTCAAAATTTTTTAGGTCAAGGGTGGTGTTAAATAGTGGAGAGAGAAATCTGGATGTACGAATGAATATTATAGTCAAAGTGGAAACTTTCGAAGCCCAAACCTACTCTTATCCTTTATCATAGGTAACTTCTTTTAGTTATCAATTTCCAGAGTGGTTTACCTGATAATGGTAGTCTAATGTTCAGAGAACCTATGTTCACACCTCACAAGTAGTTAATAAAAAAAAATACTTATAGTATAAATAAAAGTATCAAGAATTATATGGCACGTTTCCACAGCTGTTCCACAAGAATATCATTGAGAGCCATTCCTTCCACAGTATGTATAGAAAATAGTTTTAATATTTTTATTACACAAAATTCATGGGTAGTATTGCTACTGAGGAAACTTGAGATGAATTACAGTAGAACCTTGATTACCAAGCACTGCACCATTAAGGGCAGACCTTTTCAGTCTCTTATTCCTACTATTTGTAACCAAAATAAATCTTACAGTAACAGGCACCTCAATATTCCAGATTAAGGTAATAAGATTAAAAGGAATAAAGTCTTGGCTTGAGATTTAGAGTTCTTGTATATGTGCTAGATTTACTCATTTCAGATTTTACATGAAATTACATGGCTCTTACAAACCTACAAATGACTAAAATAAATGATGCAGTAAAACCCTACTTGTCCAAAGGACAAAATATAACAGTAAAAATTGTTGTCTCGAGCAATAAAAGAAAAATGTAAGATTACAAGCCAGAACACAATGGCATTCTCCACACTCGAGTTTCACTTGTTCAATTTCAGCTCCTTGCAACATGCAACATTTTTGCTGGGATTAAATAATTATCACAATTAGGTAACTTAAACTGAAATAATACCAAATTGACCTATCTTGTTGGTAGTCATTTCATTCTTATTATTGTGACTGTTTAAACTTGATAGTTGATAAGTATAAATAGGTTAAACACAAAAATTGACATATTCTGTGAAGGATCTGATATCTTCTTGTGTGTGTAATCTATAAACTTTGCCATTTATATGAAACACTGAACAATGTAGAGAAATCTGAGAAAGTATCTGCTAGATAGCTTTAAATTACAATAACTGCAACTTGGTTTACTTTTGCAGTAGAGAGCTCTGTTCTTACTTAGACAATTGCTTAAAGGATAAGGCAATAATTACTACTTGATAAAGTTGGTGGAAACTACACCCCTTCAGACTCCAGAGTTTAAACCATTACTTTGTTGTTTCTTTTTGTGATGGAACAAAATTGTTCTGTCTTTATTTACAAAGTCTCTATTTGGTGTGTAATGTATTTTTCTAAGGTTTCCATAGATGACTTTGAACATCTTCAAACAAATGCTGAAATGTTAAAATTAATGTGGTAACTATTATTTACATGAAGGTTAATCTTATTGACAGAAATATCATTGAGTTGAGTCTTGTTTGATAAAAATTTGGAGTAGGATTGTAATGTAATGCAAGCTGCCAAAGGATTTCCAGCATACTGTATAGTGAGTTGTCAAACTTTGGGTGCCATTCCTGTGTTGCTATTCACCAAAAAAAGGTGGAATCAAAGAAAATAATAGGTCTAAACATCTTGGTGTTCACAGTGGCATAAGTAAAGCACTTTCAGGAAGGTTAGACTGTATTTGGTTTACTGATTATTTGCTGCTGACCTTTATGCAAACCACTTGGCCCACTATCACCACAGGATATATATGTTGGCACTTACCATTATGACAGAGTTGGACATTGTGATGTTGGCTGCCCATTAAATCTAGAACTTAACCCTGTGTTGAATAGAGAGGCATGCTTTGCAAGGACAACAGCTGTAGAACCGGTACCACTGGAAACTAAGATCTGGCCTTCATCAGCAATCCAATCTCGAACCTTTGAGCTTTGTCTCAGATCTATTTATGAATCTTGCGTACCACTCTTTGTCATTGAACTGTGACTCATTGCAGCCCTTTACTAATGACTTGAAGTAATGGAATAATATGGAAATAACACGTCATGCTCCATTATGTTTTTGTAACAAAGATAATGCTCACAGATATTTCATATTTTGAACTGTTAAACTAATATGTTACATTTGTAGAAAAATAAACTTTATAAAATATACAACGTTACTTGATTAGCTATAGTATTCATGTTCCACAAAGATGTAATGTATCCTTGTTCAAGTTTTTTCATATCAAGTTAAAAATAGTTTGGCATGTTACGTACACGTAGCAAAAATGAATCACCATGTGTTATGTACATTAATATGCAGTTTAAACATAAATTGGTAAGAATAAGGTTTAACTGTTTGATCTTTAAAATTATATTCACTGCTTAACATGTAATAAAGTTCCTAGAATGCAAATTGAATGATTAAAGTACTAAAGAACCACATTAAGACTTAATCATAAACAGCTTATATTTATTTATTAAATGAACAGTTATATTTCAGAGGTTAAAAACATATATAGATTGCTAGGTGTGATTGGAGGTACTATTCTTCGCACTATTGGAAGATGCCGTACTTCAAAAATTCAATTGAATATAAATGTATATTTTCTTTCATGGGTGTAGATAAGCTTCCATCTTGGAGAAATGATCTCAATCCATGGAAAGGAGCAGAACGTGCACATAAAACTCCAGCTATGCATGGTAAATTTTGCTTTTGTATATATGTATAGATGTTTTTTATTTATGGACTAGTTCCAAATTTTAAACAAAATTAAGTATATGGCATCTAAGGTATCCAATTTTTTAGTTTAAAGTGATAAGTTTTATATTATCTAGGGTGTCTGAAAAAGTCATTCTATTTGGAAATGAATATTACATCTTTTAACTGCAGAAGTTTTAAGCATAGTAGTTTATCATTTATTTGTGTGAAATATAGATAATTCATAAGTGCATAATATATATATAAAGCCACTTGTATAGGTTCTTTAATAGTATCATATAAATGTATTTCCTTGCTATGATTTCAAGCTACTAAGCAAACATAGAACAACATTCTTTATAGATGCCTCTTGGTTGCTTGAATGTATCTGTGATGTATGAAAAAAACTTGATTAATTTTTAACTAACACATGAAGCTGAATTAAAATATACCCATGTAAATTCGATGACAAAGAA